TGTTCCTTTTTTGGTTTTCAAGATAGAGACCAAAGTCATTGATTTAAAATATTTCCTCTTTTCATATGTAGGCAGTTAGTGCTAAAAAGTCTCTATGTTCTACTTTGTAGCATACCAAAGTTTTTAATATGTTGTGTTTTCATGTTCATTCAGTTCAAAACCCTTCCTAATTTCTCCTTTGATTCGTTCTTTGATGCTGGAGGCTTTTTATAATTGTCCTGTTTAGATTTCAAATACTTGGTGATTTTAAAGATACCTTTTGATTTCTATTTTAAGTCTGTTATGTTCAGAGAACATACTTTACATGACTTGAGTCTTTTAAAATTTACTGAGACTTCTTGTATGGCCCAGAATGTGATATATATTGGTAAATGTTTTATGGGCACGTGAAAAAAAATATGTATTCTGCTTTTATCCTGTAGATCTCAGGTAGGTCACCTTGATGGATAGTGTGGTTCAGATGTTCTAAATATCGCGGATTTTCAGTCCACACATTCTATCAATTCCTGAGAGGGGTATAAAAATCAATTATAATTGTAGATTTGTCTTTCTCTTTGTATTTCTGTCAGTTTTCATGAAACTCATTTATGTGTATAAACATTTTAAATTATGTCCTCTAGATGAATTGGCCCTTTTATCATTATGAAATGATCATCTTTCTTTCTGATAATGATCTTTGCTTTAAAATCTACATTTCTGATACTAATCTAGCCATGCTAGCTTTTCTTTTGACATATGTTCCAGTAAAACATGTATTTTATTTCATTTCTTTTTAATTAAAAACAAATAATGTCAGGATTTCACTGTGTTGCCCAAGCTTATCTCAAACTCCTGGGCTCAATTGATCCTCCCACCTCAGCCTCCCAAAGTGCTAGGATTACAGGCATGAGCTGCGGTGTCTGGCCATATATATATATATATATATATTTTAGTCCTTTTAATTTTAACTATATTTGGCCTTATATTTAAAACACTTATAAGAAATTTAAACAAAATATAGACAGGTCTTTTTTTTTTTTAAACTCAGTCAGCAATCTGCATGTTTTACTGTTGTATTTAGCATATAGACGTTTAAATAGATTATTGGTATATATAAGTTTGAATCCTTTGCTGTTTTTTTAAATTTGTTTTATCTGTGCATTGTTCCCGTTTTCATCTTTTTGCCTTCTTTTGAATTGATAGGCAATTTTATATGATTTCATTTTACATCCCTTTGTGGTGTATTAGATACAACTTTAATGTATTAGATATAACTGTTTTATTATTTTAGTGGTTATTTTTAGGTTACTGTATATATCTTAAAGTCGTCATAGTCTACCTTCAAGTAGTGTTATACTGCTTCTAAAAGAATCTACAAATGTATTTTTTCATTCCCTTTCACCTGGCTTTTATGTGGTTTTTGTCATATGTTTTACCTATACATGTGTTATAAGCCCTGTAAGAGTTTGCTATTTTTTGTTATATTTTAAATACATTTAAATAATAAGAAAAGTATATATCATGTGTATTCATGTCATTACTATGTTATTTGTTTATAGATCCATATTTCTATCTGGTCTGGTTTTTTTTTTTTTTTTCTGCCAGATTTTTTTTTTTTTTAACATTTCTTGTAGTGTGTTCTGCTGGTGATAAATTTTGTAGATAATGAATTAAGTGATTTTCCAGTCAAGCACATGGGATCCTGTACTATTGTAGACCCTGTGAGAATGCTGGATACTGTTTAATTCTTCCTGATGACTTTTTTTCCCTGTCTCTGGTAGTCTTCTCACATGCATGCACCAGTCAGTACTCTGCTCGATGTGGAAGACCCTCCACACATCTCCAGAGCTTTCTCTCCATGCGCCACTCTCTTCTCTGATACTCTGATTTGTGAACTCTAGATTAGCTCTATCCTTTAAACTCTATGAGTCAGCCAGGTCATGTCTTCCTTCACTGTGACTTGGAATTTCTGTTAAGGCAGTAAGCTGGTGTAGTAGAGGGATGCTAATATAGTTTAGATATTCGTCCCTGCCCAAATCTCATGTTGAAATGTCAACCCCAGTGTTGGAGCTGGGGCTGGTGGGAGGTGTTTGGATCATAGTGGTGGATCCCTTATGTATGGCTTGGGCCATTCCCTTGGTAATAAATGAGCCCTTGCTCTGAGTTCACAGGAGATCTGGTTGTTTAAAGGTGTGTAGCACCACCCCCACCACTCCTGTGTTCGCCATGTGGCATGCCTGCTCCCACTGCACCTTCTGCCATAATGGTACACTTCCTGAAGCCTCCTCAGAATCTGAGCAGATGCTGGCACCGGCTTCCTGTACAGTCTGCAGAACCGTGAGGCAATTAAACCTCTTTTCTTTATAAGTTACCCAGTCTCAGGTATTTCTTTATAGCAATGCAGGAACAGCCCAATACAGATGCCATAACACAGTTCCAAAGACTAGGTGGCTTAGGCAACAGAAATGTGTTTCCTCACAATTCTGGAGCCTGGAAATCTAAGATCAAGGGGTCAGCAGGCTGCTTTCTTCTAAGGCCCTTCTCTTGGCTTGCAGAGGCCCACCTTCCTGCTGTGTCCTCAGATGGTTTTTCCCCCGTGCTCACATTTCTGGTTTCCTCTTTCTGTCCAGATTTCCTCTTCTTATAAGGACACCAGTCAGATTAGATCAGGGCTCGCCCGTATGATCTTATTTTACCTTAATCACCTCTTTAAAGGGCTTATCTCCAAATTCAGTCACTTTCTAAGGTACTAGAATTAGGGCTTCAGTTCATAACACTGGGGAAATCATGGAGCTTATTCTGATTTTTTTCCCAGGGACCACTGTCGTTTGTTGCCTGATTCCAGAATGTTGAAAACCACTGCTTTATATGTATAGTGTCTACCTGATTGATTGATTGATTGATTGATTTAGGCAAAAGTGCCTTTCCAGTCCCTGTTATACCCTCTCGGTCAGCAACAGAAGTCCTGAGCCTGAGTTCCTGATCACTTCACTATACTTTTTCACATTTACTTTTCACAAACATGCAGAAATTTAGGGATCTGCCTTCTGCTTATCTTTTAGTCTGAATTCAGTGATCACTTCCGCTAGGAAACATTAGGACACTCTGACTTAGATCCTATTACTATTGCTTCCATCATGTCCTGTAATATCACAGACCCTATAGTTGATTATATTTGCTTACTTGGGTTTCATGCGAAGTCATAATTTCTGTTAGTGCTAGGGCACAGCCCAGAAACTGTCAGAGGGCCTGACATGTAGTAAGTACCCAAAATATTTGTTGAGTGAAGAGATGTTGTATGTCTACCTTCCATGCCCCCAAATCATGTATAGTTTGGACAATTACAAATTACTTAGGGTCCAAAATTTGAAAAATATACTAAATGTGAAGTATGGATCTTTTATGCCTTTTCATGAGTATAAACATTTAGATATACTTAAAGATACTTAAATTCTTCTCCTGTGCTGTCTAAGACAAAGCCAGTCTTATTTGGTGGTTCTGGTAGCAGCTCCCTGACCCTGACTCCTCTCCACTCTCCCATCTCCCCTCCCTCTCCTATTTTATTTTATTTTGTTATTATTATTTATACATCTGAGGAACTAGAGAGGTTATAATTATATATCTGAGGAACTAGAACATCATAAAGTTAGTAACTTACTGGAGGATAAAAGCAAATCCCAGAATCGATTCATTACAGTGACTGTGCTGCTTGGATTGTACTTGGCTTTCAGTACCTTCTAAAGCTTTTTAAAACAAAAAATATCCCTTAAAGTCTTGATAAACTTGATTATTCTAATGAGACCTACATTACTCTAAGCCCCGCCTTTTAAAATATACTACAAAATAAATATCCACTATTTCCCAGTAATTTATTGGGTCAATTTTACCAAGTATCTTTTTTATTTGACAATTCGGTCTTTCAGTGTTTTACTGTTCTCATGTGATTATACATCTTTTAGCTTTATTATTAGCTTCTTAGGTTCTTGGAGCCATTCTCAGAATTAAATCACAGTATGTAATCTTTACGAAAATCTGGTTTGACATAGTACTTCCCATATTCTAAATCTTCAGTTTGAAAAAATTGTATGTGTATACACACACGCGTGCACGCGTGCGCGCGCACACACACACACACACACACACATACTTTCATACTTTTTGGAGCATTTGACTTTTTAGAGTGTTTGAGAAATCTCTAGTCTGTTATTAGCATTCGTTGTCAGATGCAGACACATTAAAGCTGTGAAAGGATTAGAAGTAAAAGCAATGACCTGGAAGTAGTTTAGCCAGGTAGTCTGGTGTTAATCAGCCCAGCTTTGGAGTGTGTTATATAGAAACATGCATGTCTATGGCAGTCTATCCATGTCTTTAAAAATATGTAATTTCTTTCCTAATTCATTATAGCTTAGGCTGATTATACATTAGAGTAGGTATGTTTTAGAAAAATCCTAAATGTGTACAGACTGTTATCTGTAGATAAACTTCATATAGATACTTGAGGATCATCCCCTGGCACAACCAAATGGGCCACATTTATTTTTGTGTGTACTCACTGCCTTCACACCCTTACAATCCCGTTTCATTTCCTGTGGCACATTAATAACCAGGTCTCTCCATGCCGTCCCAACAGACCGTCATAACCGTTGCTAAGTTTCTGAGCATTCACTTTATGCTAGGTATTCTGCTTAGAGATTTATACAGATTACATAAATTTCATTCTCACAGTTGTGGTAGTGGTAATTATTATCATTAACCTAATTTATAGCTGTAGAAACTATAGTAAAGGTTAATCAACTTTCTCAAACTCACACTTGATGTAATGGGATTCAAATCTGACTGAAGAATGTTTGTATCATCCCTCCTCTGTCTAGGTGCCTAATGCCTGCTCCTCAGCTCCAGCTGGGTCCGTCTTTTTCTCTAGAACTTGGATCTCTTATTTTTCTCTCGATATGGGGTAATAGATTATTTCAGCAAACTAATTCTTGCTAATCTTTTTAAGCTTTAATATGTTTTCCCCTTAGCAATAGCATCCCCCATAAAGAATTAAAATTTGTCGAAAATAACAAGGATTCTGACAAGCTGATGGGAGAGAGGAATAGGACAGATTGCAATAGGAACAGATGTGTTCGAGTGTCTTGATCCTTTAACACTGAAGGTGAACTATTGCTGACTGCCTCGTGGTGTGTTTCCATCATTCAGTGCCTTGCTACGTGGGAATCATTCCTTACATCACAGACCAACCTCCACTTGGAAGAAGCCTCTGAAGATAAACCTTAATCCCATTCAGGACTTCCGTTTGATCTTTGGGAGACAGCACTTATTAACCAAAGTTACTCTTTTCTGGATCTGCCGTGTCCCTTAAAAAGTGGATGAGAAATGTTTTGTACTATCTGGAAAACCAACAACTTGAAACCTCAGATATTCCAGGTCACTGAAATGAATTTGAAGACATATCTATCTGCATGGGTATATATCTATATGTATATAGATATATAAATACAGAGAGAGATTTTGCTTGGTTTTAATTATGTTCTTAAATTTGTGTGCCAATCATTGCATATAGATTTTTTTCTTAGATATTTGACTGTGGAACATGACATTTTAAATATGTTGTAAGGACTTGTTTTAATAAAAAGTTTAATATGAAGTGGCTGGCTGCAGTGTGTTCTTTTCTTCCCCTAGTCGCTCAAGCCTCTCAAACATATTCTAAAATGAGTTCAGCATGTGTTAACAAGTATACTGTGCATTTACTTTTATTTCATCATTGTTTCCTCTGAACTACTCAGTTTAATATTAGGAATTCAACGTAATATCCAAAAATTATTTGACATTATTAAAATTGATATCTGTTCAAAAATTGATTTGTTAAAAGTTATTTCCACAGTTAAAAAGTTTCCAAGATTTAAATTATTATTTGAGTTATTAGAAATCCTTCTATAATTATATTCCTACTAGTAGATATATTTGGGCTTTTTAAAATTTTTGCATATTCTTTACAACACATAGCTAGCTTTTATTTTTTAAGATACAGTGTTTATCAAGTTTATTTTCCCATTCATTTATTGTCTACCTCATGCAAAGCACAGTTATGGGAGCTTATGTTCTGTGGTGATGAAAAATATAATTTCAGAGCTTACGTTCTAGTAATATTGATCATACAGATTTTTTCTATTAATTTTATAACTATAAAAAAGCTAAATGTGTTGATTATTTAGTTTTTGCTGATTTTTTGGAAATGGATACTTCTCAGGACTAAGTAAAATTTGAGGTAATTGGTCATGCATGCTGTCTTACACATACGACTATATTTTGGGTATTAAGTGTCACAAAACTAGACATTTAAATTGTTTTAACTAAAACAAGGGATTCACTTATATACACACAGCTGTAAATATAAAGCTAAACGTTTTTCTTAAATATTGGTAAATATCAGCAACTGACACGAGCAGAAAATCAAACACCGCACGTTCTCACTCATAGGCGGGTGTTGAACAATGAGAACACATGGACACAGGGAGGGGAGCACTACACACTGGTGGCCGTTGGGGGGGAAATGGGGGAGGGACGGGGGGTTGGGGAGGTGGGAAGAGATAGCATGGGGAGAAATGACAGATACAGGTGATGGGAAGGAAGGCAGCAAACCACACTTCCTTGTGTGTACCTATGCAACAATCTTGCATGTTCTTCACATGTACCCCAAAACCTAAAATGAAATTAAAATATATATATATATATATAATTTTTAAACCATTTGTAATGAAAAGCTGGCTCCATTTTTTTTTTACTTGTGGCTGCTAACAGCTTATAAGTCTCACTCCTCTCTCTTCTTCCTCTTCTGCCCCACATCTTATGGACAAGCTGCTTTGAAAGCCCAAGTGCTCCCTCCTTTGGCACTGATGGGAACAACGTTCTAACCGTGCAAGCCCCTCCCTACATATGGAATCTATCCCCTAACCATCATAAAATCCTTAAGCTGGTCTCGTTTTCCAAATGTCTCAAACCATTTTTGAATCAGTCTGAGAGGCCAGCCTTGCTCTCCCCCGAAAGCCTCATAGTGTAAGTGATAACCCTTTTCATAGCCTCTTGGTGTGTTTGTGTCATCATGAGTCTTGACATCCCAAACAAATTTTAGGTGGGAGTCCTTCCTGTTTTATCAAAATTGCCCCAACAGTATTGTTTCACAAGCTCTTTAAGCTTTTTGGACTTCAGTTTCTCCATAGGGAGGTAATGGAGATAGTAATCTTGAACTCACAGATTGTTAGATGATACAGTAAACTTAGAAAACCTGGCAGAGAAATGATAGTCAATCAGATTATTTAATGATTCAGTGGGATAATACGAAATGTGCTTTGTTTTTGAGTGTAATGCCTTTTCCCCTCTTTAATACACTGTATGCCTTTCCTCATTCCTCTCCTCCTCTTCCATCCACGCGACTACTATCCCAAATATGCACCATGCATAGCCACACAGGTAACCCATGTTAACGAGCATGTACCCTTCCTTACACCTTTCCATGCTCATAATGTACTGTACATACTTACACAAGTGGTTTTTCTCAATCTAAAAATGACATCGTACCATACATGTTATTTTGCTTCTTATTTCCTCACTTAATATCTTCTGGAAAGCCTTTAAAGTCAAAAATAGCTCTGCTTTTTAAATGACTCCAAAGTATATCATGAAATGAATCTACAGTAATTGATGCAGCCATTTTCTTTATATTTACTTTCCTTTCATTTTTTCATCACATCAAAAAGAATCCCCATCCCTTTTAACTGTCACTCCGTTAGCCTTCAACCCCCATCTCTCACGGCCTAAGGAATCTTCTTTCTGTCTGTATATATTTGCCTATTCTGGATAGTTCATATTAATAGAATCATATGTGATCTTTTGTGACTGGTTTTCTCCACTCAGGTTCATCAGTGTTGTAGTATTTGTCAATACTGCAGTATTTTTATGGCTAAAAATACTCCATTGTGTGGTTAGACCACATTTTGTTCATCTATTATATTTGTTTATCCTTTCACTGATGGGCATTTAGGTTGCTTCAGACTTTGGCTATTATGAATAATGCTGCTATGAAAATTGATATACAGGAGTTTGGGTGGATGTATGTTTTCATTTCTCTTTGGCCCTGAAAGTGGGATTGCTGGGTTATATTATAACGCTGTTTAGCCATTTGAGGAGCTGCTGGATTGTTTTCCAAAGTGGCTGCACCATTTTACATTCCCTCCAGCAGTTGGATAAGGGTCCTAATTTCTCCACATCCTCACCAATATTTGTTACTATTTGATTTTTTATTATAACTGCCCTAGTGGGTATGAAGTGGCATCTCATTGTTTTTGAATTTTATTTCCCTGATGCATCTTTTCATGTGCTTATTGGCCATTTATATACAAATGTCTATTTACACATTTTTCCTGCTTTTAAAATTGGGTTGTGTGTGTTTTTATTATTGAGTTGTAAGAGTTCTTTATATATGTAATATATAAATCTCTTATGGAATTATGATTTTTCACTTTCTTGGTCATGCCATTTAAAGCACAGAAGTTTTTCATTTTGATGAAGTCCAAAGTATCTATTTTTTTCTTTTGTTACTCATGCTTTTGGTATCATATCTGAGAATTCGTTGCCAAGTATGAGGTTATGAAGACTTATTCCTATATTTTCTTCTAAGAATTTTAGGGCTTTAGTCAATTTTGATTTAAAGTTTGTATGTGGTGCGAGGAAAAGGCCCAATTTTATTCTTTTGCATGTAGGTATCTGGTTGTTCCAGCATTGTTTGTTGAGAGACTGTGCTTTGTTTCAGGATTCTTATTATTGAACTGGGCAAAAGAACAAATCAAACACTTTAAAAAAATAGAAGGAATTGACAAATTTATATAATCAAAAAGAAAAGGATATATTTGGGCATAACTGGTCCTGAACAGGTACCTTTTTCTTTCTGTCTTTAATCCCCACTTCTCTTGAATGGTTGGCCTCACTTTCTCCTATTGCTGCCTTTACATGAAGCCAATTCTGTGGTTCTCAGCTGGGGCAATGTGATCCCCAGGTGACAATTAGCAGAGCCTAAAGATTCTGGTTGTCACATTTGTGGAGGAGGGTGCTAATGGTCTCTGGTGGGTAGAGGTAAGAGATGTTGCTAAATACGATGCACAGTACAGCTTCCAACTACAAAGAATGTTCTAACCCCAAATGTCAATACTGCTGAGGTTGAGAAGTCCTGGACTACCTTAATGTTTATTAGTAGCTCCTGGCAACACAAGTGCCCAGCTTTGCTACTAGGAAGGAGAGGGCTCTACCCTTTCACCTTCAATTCAGTTAAAACTCTTGAGAGAAGAACTAACTGACTTGGGATATAGCCAAGCTCCCTCTTATCCCCATCCCCAATCCCTGTCTTAGGTCAGTCTTTGCGGCTAGGAGCCAGTGTGCTATTATTAACACAGCCAAGGTCATTTCCTACTTTTACACGTATTACGGTAGGCAAAGTAGTTATGACCAAGAGGAGATGGCACTTTTAATTCAACCATGTTGTATGTTACACTCAAGCACTATCTAAAAGAAGGAGCTGCTTTATCCAGAAGAAAGAAGAGTACTGGGGAAGATAGAGTAGTACATGTCCACACTATAATTTTGAATGAACATATATTTTTATCTAGAATTGTATTCTATATATTTATATAATTAACACTGTCATGCCTAAAATTCTTCAACAAACAAGGACTCATGTAAAAATGGCTCTTCAAAGAATATTACTAATTACAAGTGTGAATAAACCATTAGTCCCACGCATATAATTACACAGGAAGTCAATCATAATTGTATTAGGTAAAAAATAGCACAAGACTGTGAAATTAGAGTTGTTAGTGCACTCATATAGTTAAGAAAAACAACCTTTACATTAGAATTGATTAAATAAGAAGTTCAATGTGTAAGAAATATTCTTATGCAGAAATACTGAAGATTCCATTGAAACACGTGAGTTGTTAGAACTAGAATTAAATTCTGAACATACTGTAAAAAAAAAAAAAAAATGTCATTTTAGCATTTAAAATTCTGAGCTTGTGAGTTAACTATTCTAGGCCCCAATTTCCCATCTGTGGAAAAAGGGAATTAATCTGCCAGATCTACATTGCTGGGAAGTATAAGAATAAATTACAAACAGCTGACTTTGACTACTTACTTGGAATAAAAAAAAGTTAAGTTCTGCCTCAGCTTCCCCTTGTTATCTACTAAATCTTTGAAACTCTGAATCCCTTTTTAGGTGAATCCTGAGATAAACAATAGTCACACTTACCAAGGCATGTCACAGTAGGATATGTTCAGAATGTCTTGCATATGTGTGAATAGAAATAAATATAGATACATATTTAAGCTCATATTTATATAGATGGATAGACGTGTTATGTGGTGTGTTTGTATGCATGTGTGCTGTGTGAATGCGTATAGTGATCGGTGGAAAGATGGGAATAAAAATGGAGCAGGAAGCCAACTGCAGGCATGCTGTTACTTAACTCCCTGTCTTCATGTATTACAGTTTGCCCAGGTTTGAAAGTATTTATGTGCCTGTTTGTAAGGTTATTGTGCAGTGAGATCCCTTAAAATAGGACAGCTATTCAAATTTGTTTGCCATCACTTTTGCTTGTG